TAAAATAATACTACATATAATAAATTGTGAAAATTATAAACCATAACACAACCGAAAAAGAAATAAATATTTTCATTAATTAAACAATTATTATTGTTGAATTACTATTATTAATTTAAAGTACGTTGAACTCTAACCACATTTAGTAATGTGTTTGTAAATGATTGTAAAAGACATGTTAATTATAAACTGGCCTAAAATTGCGAACTAACGACTCGTGAAAAAACTCTTGTTATAACGTCATTTCAAATTAGTGACATTTTCGATGCATAGATATGGAAATTAATGCAACGGTAACCTGTTTCGTGTACACGCAAACCCTAAACTGACCTAAATGTTGATGTACGTGGTGTGTGATTGATTTGGCAGGTAAACAGATCAATAGCACAAAAAGTTGTGTTATAAAAAAGCAATTTCTGCACCATTAAAACAAACTAAACTTACAAAAGCGAAAAATTGCTTTATTTCTAACAACGTTTTATCAATTATTTTCATATTGATTTATGATAAAATCGGAATGATCCTGGCATTTAGATTCTCGCACATCACGAAGAGCAATCTTCAATGACACTATCTTGGCATTTTATTAATTTCTTTATTTGCTTGAAAAATCATAAATGTCAATATTTCTACTAGTCTATAATCTGTCGAAGTTGATGTATCGATTTTCTCAAATTGTATTTCAGGACGCTAACACATTTATGTCCGGTAACTACTTATTGACTCAATTACTGTATATGCAAATTACCTTGTAACTTAGGAACAAATTCAATAACAACTGAATGAACAAATGAAATTACGATTAAATCTTCTTTCTGATATAAAGCCGTGAATGCAATTTACCATAATTAGCTTTAATAACTTATCTAAAATTATTATGTTCGCCATGTTAACCAAACTCAACCCATTCAATCCCAGTTAATGTTAGCCATACCTTATTGTAATAAAATTATAATTGGGGTTGAATACATATGTATAAACAATAGTTGGCCAAAATATTTATTAGTAATAATATTTCCGATCGTATAATTTTCATAAGTCAAATAATTTACATACATTTTTTGGTTTAATCCAAACACTTTGATATTATCCGGTAAAACGTTATAATATTTGACAACAAAGTAATTGGTCCCGTCTCTTGTCCTTGCCGTCCGAGAATAGTTGATAGTTAACATTTCACCTGCCCTAGTTATAGTGTGAATTAAGTGTTCTAAATTCAGAGTATGTATAGGCAAGGCAATCTTCATATTTTATATTTAATGAATTTAGCTCTGCAATAGATTTGGTGTCTTAAGGTACCCATCACATTCTCTGAATCTCAAACATTCGAATTCGAAGGCTGAGTGGTCTTAACGAAGCAATGCGTAACACAATTAAACATAGTAAACGTTCATCAAAATTATAAACATTTACTCTGATAGGTTGCAAGTACCGAGTACAGTGGTATTCAGTTTTTTTTATATATAAGAAAGACCACCAGATAGTCAGAGCTCGTGTTTCAGCTTCATTCTAAGTTTATTGGTTTGAAGCCATTGAAAGATTTCAGCTTTATTCGCAGAAACCTAGCTTGTTATTTCGATATTCCTATTGTGTTTTGCAAATATACGACGAATCGAAAAAATTTCAAACATCACGTCACCAAAAGAACTTAGAGTGGAAGTCCTTAAACAGATTGTTTTATTAAATATACCTATAGACAGCAGTTAATAATAATTTAAATCACAGAAAAAGTATTTTTGTCTGCTCAACTATATAAATGCGCTTGAAAACTCATTTACTAAATACATTTACAGTATCCTTTACTAAATTGAAAAAATCGATTCAGTGACTGAAAGAGAGGCAAAAACTGAATAAAATTAGCCCCACATCACATTAACATCAAACCATGGAAGTATCAAACCAATTAGTATGCGTCAAATTTGAATAGGGAAATCAAAAACAGGGACAGTTATGTTCATATTCATCACAGAAATCAAGTGCCACCTATTAATGGTAAAATTTCTAGAAGTACACTCACCAAAAAACTAATTACACTAGTAGCTGTATGTTAGGAACGTAACTAAAGAACTTCAAGCAAATTCAGAAACTTACAAAGCTAATTTTCTGGCTGTATGTATTTCAGAACGCTGAACTCTTCAAAACACATTTTATCATGCAAGATATACATATATATAATTGTTTCTAGCAGATTCGAGTTTTACAGCGTAAAGCAATATGAGTCAAATTACACTCAAGGGAGATAGCTAAATGATCTAAAAGGGACGAGCTGTACCCGAAAATAAGTTAGCATCTAAGTTAGTAAATATACTGTTAAGCAAGAATTCTCTCAAGTGCAGTTATAAAGACAATTTTGTAAACCGTAAGATTCGCAGAGGTTGCGTAGCAAACAATCTTTTAGGCTATATAACTTGAATCTCACACAAAAGCTTCCGGTAATCAGATGGTAATCAGAATGGGTTAAGCGTTAAGGAGTAGGTACGCTTAATTCCAATTTCGCCACGTTTCACAGATCAAAGATAATAGGACTCATAAGAATAATCAGAAATATTAAGTTTCAAAATCCTTCAACCAACATATAATGCGCGGAAACTGCTGTTAATTAAATATGATTCTATTTATCTAGCAATTTATCTATTATATAGCCTATCAGGTGCAAATTGGTAATCAGATTCACTGTAGATATCTGTAGGCGATGTTATCTTAAAATGCAGAAATTTCTACCAAGAAATTAGGGCCCAAGTCAAGAAAGGCTCTAGAATGAATATCTGGACATCTAACAAACAAGGAGATATCCAAGAAGAGCAAACTGCGCATTTACAAAACGGCAGTGAGATCGCTACTAACTTGATGAAACTAGGGCGAGTACGTCAAAAACCAAGAGCATGCTAAGAGCCACCAAAATGAGAACGCTTAGGACGCTTAAAGGAGTAACCCAGAGAGATCAGATAAGAAGCTCAGCAATACGGGAGGAACTGAGAGTCCCCCACGAGGTACGATTTGTGCGAGCGAAGCGCAGATGTTGGAGAGACCACGTGGACAGGATGGACGAAGAGTGTTGGGCGAAATGAGCCAAGAGTGAGAGATTTTTGAACAGACCTGTCGGACGACCATCAAAAAGATGGCCCGAATGGTGTATTTCAGCATCCCAAGAGGTCTGATACAGCAGAAAACAAGACATAGTATTAAATAAAGGGGAAAAAGAAGAGAATTTAAAAGACGATATGAACACCGCGTGAAAAACGCATAACAATTAATCTTCCACTTAGTGTAATTTCAGACTTTTTCTGGCAACTTTTAGGTTGGCCAGTGTAAATCCGAATATTTTCTTATTGCCCAGAATCTGTAGGATAATTCCAAACATTTTAGTTTGTGAAGTATAAATAATTTCACTTTTTCTTTAAATCTGAACTTGAAATTTCGATACCGTGATTTCAGGCCGCACTACAATTACCGCACTTTTGCAACAATTGGAAATTAGTCAGTACCAGGGTCAATCCAGGCATTTAAAAATTTTAAGTTTGTAGTCAGAACAATCAGATTTCATCTAGGAACAAAAAAATTAATGTACTTTTTTATTTTAATTGTACATTGGCACTTTTTTTTGCAATTTAATGTTTGATTAGTGCAATTCCAAACATCTTTCAGTTTATAATTTGGCAGTATAATAAAATAAATAAAACTTTAGAAGCAAATGTAGTAATCACTTGATCAGAACAAGTGTTTTAAGCAAGTATTTCGTAGAACATCTGAAAGTAGCACCCTGATCAGCAATATTTCGCGGAACGATGGTTGACCACTACAGATTTAGATAAACGAATAAAAAATACACCAAATTTTTTTCTGAGAATACTCAAAATTGCACATTGCGAATATAGTGTCGGCTCTTATTAATGGCTATGAGACAATACGAAACATACTACCATGGTTGGCAATAAAATGGTAGAATAGCTAGCATCTATAGACAAGATTAAAGCGTTTGCAGAACCAGGCCCAGCAATTAACATCTTATTTATTTCCACAAGAGATCTAAGATCTGCACTAGGCTACATCTTAACCATTGTTTGGATTTTTGTACAGCACGCTACTTCTGATAAAGTTATTCGTTAGAGTATAATAGATCTTATTCTTCCATGTATTGGACCGTTTTTACCTATTGTGTTTTAGACTTTGAGGTCTTTCCTACTTTTAGAGTAATACAATTCATCGGCAACTTTGATGATCTACCTTTATTCAATACTTTTTAGTCGTCAATATCAGATATACCATTCAAATTTTTTCGTACCCAAAAAATTATCCTTACTTTCAATTTGCTCGTTTACAGGCCCAGAATTTTGTGGGTGTGAACACTCTACACTTATATTTTATGTATTCTTCAATTACTTTTGGGCACATTTATTTTCCTTTGTCTTTCAAAGCTAAATTTCTTCCAAGGGGTAAACTAGAAATGTGACACCATGATTGACTAGCTGCCCTAGCTGGGCGTTGCTATTCCCTTTACGTTTATTTACATAGTATCTTAGATGAAAGCCTATTTACTGCCAAAATCAAATTTTGATAGACAAACATCAAGATTTCAAAATATATTATGCGAAAAAGCTTTCCCTTTTTATATGTATTTAAATATAAACGAAAATAAAATTTAAATAATTAAAAAAATATTTATTTATTTTTTAAGGAAATGTCAACAAATAACACTAAATAAATAAATATTCATAGGTAGTAAAAATGAAAGTTAAACCGCTCCTAAATTAAAAGCGAATAAGATAAAATAAACTAAAAGAATCGATCTTGTACGATCATAAAATTTTGAAAACATAACCTCAAACAATAACCTAATAAAAAAACACCTTCATGACCAACTAGCATTTGTTTTTTATACATAGCAATCATTTGTTTTATAAAACGTCATGAATTGTTTTAATGGGTTATGTTTTTTAACAAGAAAGATAATTTCTTTCGTTTTCTTTAAGAAATTATTGAAAATAAACGATTCTACTCACACGACCATTCCGTAAGCGCCTTCGCCGATGTACGCCAAGTTGGTGTAACGCGGGCCCACTTCGAAAGCTTGTCCTCGGACGATTTCTACCTTTGAATTAACACTTGAAGCACCTGTAGCCTCTGCCATTTTTTATATATATCAAAGAGTTTGCGAGTGAACCTCTCCAATTGACACTCTCGCGCAAACTGACCCAAGTTTCTGATACTCGATACTCGCCGACTCGTCTACGCAGTCCTATCAACTTTACAGTTACGTTTAGATTTTTGGTAGGTGTTTTAAAACGTCGAGATAAAAGTGTTGCTTTAACTGGATATAATGTGAAAGTTTTTATAGATTATTGAAACGTGTTTATAAAAATATAAAGGGAAATTGAATAAATTTAATCTAGGATGTTCATTACGTCATAACACACTTAAATTGAATCGCCGATAGATGGCGCTGCAAATATATTAAAGTTTAATTAAAGGAATTAAATTCTTTTTATATTTTCATTTTAATTTGAATTATGAAATAAAAAACTTATATTTATCGGCAAAACCATAAAGTTGATTTTAATAAAAAAGAATACGTATTAAAATTATACTCAACATTTTTAGTTAACAAATTCGTTAATAGATGGCTGTCAAAATCTTGTGTTTTGTGAAATGTCATTTTCCTCGTTTCTTAATAAATAAATTGAAATTTTTTTGAGTTAAATCTTTAAATACAATTGTTATATAGAAAATGAATGCGCCACCAACATTCGAATCGTTTCTGTTGTACGATGGTGAAAAGAAGTGAGTATAAACAAAGTTAACAAGGGAGGCATATAAACATAACCTAACTTTTTTGTAGAATCATTCGAGAACAAGATACTAAAGTACCAAATGCAGCTATATTTACAATAAATAAAGAGGATCATACTTTAGGAAATGTGATTAGGAAGTAAGTTAATTTCATTGGAGAAATTGGTTTGATTAAAATTTATATAATTTTTAGTCAATTACTTAAAGATCCAAATGTGTTGTTTGCTGGATATAAAGTACCACATCCTTTGGAGCACAAATTTGTTATTAGAATTCAAACAACAAACGATTATTCTCCGCAAGAAGCTTTAATGAATGCAATAACGGATTTAATATCTGAGTTGTCTCTTTTTGAAGAACGATTTAAAGTGGGTTTTAATAAACAAAGTACAAACATATTTTTTTAACCAATTTTGTTTTAATTTTAGGAAGCAATTAAAGAGAGGAGGGAAGGTTTAGATTAAAAAGATTAAGATCTAAAATAAGTTTAATTTTATTTTACAATGTAAGTTTAAATTAGGGAAAAAAATTAAATAATTTTGATGATTGTATAAGAGTTTTAATGAATAAATAAAAATGAGCAAGAATTACTGGGGTTGTTATTTGTTATAAACTGGTATCAAGTTGGATTCATACAATTAATCAACAATACAATTACAATAACAATTTAATTACTTTAAAATTCATCTAATTCATCATGAACTTAGCTAATAAATAAGCTAATAAAATCTTTTTTCTTTAATATTATAATAAGGCTATAGTTTTTCTGATTTAATTTTATTATTCGCTGTTTTTGATCTACTTTGGTTTAGAAGGTCTGGTCATCTTGGCAATTTTCTGTGGCATGCCCAAACTCTAAAATAAAAAAATAATACCACATTATTTATATAATATATCTTATTTGAATAAATTTTAGGATCCCAAGATTATTTCCTCAGCAATGGAGTTAAATAAAGACAGTTTCTTCTTTAGTTTATTTTGATATAAACAATTTATTACCTTCACAAATATCACAATATGGTCTCTGGGGTGGCTTTTCCTTTTTAGGCCCTTCTCTCGGAGGTGGATCATCATTCGCTTGTTGCGGACAGTCTTCTGTTTCATGTAAATCAAATTCTTCACATATGTCGCAGTACATTCGTGGTGCTGGCATATGTCGATCTAAGTTCAGTCTAAGCAAAAAAAAAAGATTAGGATTGTCCTGAACAATGAGTATATTAACAGCTAAAATTAGAAGTTTTTTATTTATTTCTTAAATGTTTAAATTATAGATTAAAATAATCAAGTTATGTAATTATGATTAAATAATTTAATGATGATTTAAAACGTGATTGCATTATTAACTAAAGAACATGCACTGCATATGTTTTATAATTAAAACCTTGTAGATATGACTCATATGACTAATAATTGATAAGTTTCCAAGAATGTAGATAAAGTCGATATGAATTAAAACGTTTCGTTTTGCAACAGGTAGTTAGTGTTCTATTCGATTTAAATAAGACAAATTGTGTCTAGAAATATTAAGGAATGGTTAAATATAGTGTTTTTAGAAATGTCTAGTTCTTCAAAATTAATCGTTAGAGGTAAGAACTAAGTCAATTCATTATTAATACCTTATTTTTTTAATTGAAAGTGTTAGATGTTTATACAAATATGAGGAACATTATGTGGTTTTTAGAAAACATAAACTTAAAAGGGGATTTGATTCAGTTCGATATTAAAGGTAATTTTTTTATTTCATTGTTAAGTATTAACTCGCTTGTTCGAATATAGTATGTAATACTAAATATATCATTTGAATATCTGATCTCTTCTTTTTATAAAACCGAGTTGAGTTGAGAAATAACCTAGTCTTGTTGTCATTAAATATGTTTTTCTGTTCATGTTCCTTTAGAATTTTAAGTTTTCCATGTACTCAATGGACTTCAATCATCAACTTTCTCTCCATCTAATTGTAAGCATATTTTCCCTATATATTAGCAAACTTTTGACTATTACATGGATCAAGATCACATTTTTGCTTCCTCGCCTGCACGAAGTATAGAAAGAGAGAAATTCGACCTCGAGATATTTATGGGTTATTAGTGTTATTGAATTTGGAGCATAACATTTTTTCATTTAATACGAAAACGGTGGTTTTTATCAATATTCTCTAAGAGTGATAAAAGTTTCTAAACTAAATTTACTATTAGAAACTGCAAAAATAAATGTAGGGTTATGATAGAATAAAAAGGTTCTGAGCAAACAAACTTTAGGAACAACCTGTATAGCATTGTTACTATCGTCTAATCGTCATCATTTTCACTCTATACTCTGTTTTTAAACCAGGAGGAGTATTTTAAATTTGTCACCAGATTGACCTTGCACGTGATTGGTTGAATGCGAGGAAGGTTCACACACAGGAAATTTTGAATTTGAAGGTTAGGTAATTGATAATTCGACAGTTTCGTGTCATTACTGTATATTTTGTGTTCTTAAACTCTTTTTTATTATATTTTGAAATAAATACACTCATAACTTCAATGTTAATTTGTATGTATAGTGTTGACGATAACAAACGAAAATAAATACAATAATAAGTAAATAAATAAATAATAATTATTAATTTAAATTTACCGCCAAAATATCTAGTGATATTTTCTGGTGATTTTTTCCAGTGTAAATCTGACTTTCGCGTTTACTCCTCCTGGTTTAAAAACAGAGTATAGTTCTAGTGCAAGTGTTAGTTCTAGTTTTAATTGTTATTCAGCGCTAAGTTGTATATTTTTAAGTTTCGGGTTTAGCCCTGTGTCTTCAGACGCTGAATGTTAGGTAAGGTTAGTTTTGTTTACAAACATTAATTATACCTTGAAGTTTTCTTTGGCAATTATACTCTGTTTTTAAACCAGGAGGAGTATTTTAAATTTGTCACCAGATTGACCTTGCACGTGATTGGTTGAATGCGAGGAAGGTTCACACACAGCCAATTTTGAATTTGAAGGTTAGGTTATTGACAATTCGACAGTTTCGTGTCATTATTGTAAATTTTGTGTTCTTAAACCCTTCTTTATTATATTTTGAAATAAATACACTCATAACAGAAACGTTAATTTGTATGTTTAGTGTTGACGATAACTAACGAAAATAAATACAATAATAAGTAAATAAATAAATAATAATAATTATTAATTTAAATTTACCGCCAAAATATCTAGTGATATTTTCTGACTTAAATTAAATCTGACTTTCGCGTTTACTCCTCCTGGTTTAAAAACAGAGTATAGTATATGTGGTTAAATTTGTTCCCTGAGTCACTGACACACCCTGTATAATTTATCTACAGTGTGGGCCAAAAAGGCAGCAACACCCGTTTTATTTCTGTTCCATTGCATCTACATTTCTGAAATTTAGTTTATGTGAGAGGTTCATACCGACCTTTCGGTCTAAAGAACGAAGATGGTCACTCAAGATGTCACTCAAGAGTCACTCAAGATGGTGACCACTTCCGGTCCCCCGGAAGTAGACCACAACTTCGTTATTTTAAATGGAATGATATAGTTTTTATTGCACCTTTAAATTATATGCGAAAAAATAAGTTGACTTTGATAAAAGTTATTGGTACCTAGCGCTTTTCGTTTTCGAGTTATTTCGATTTTAAATTTTTCTTGGCAATTTTCACCATGTCTTAGCAAACGTTCATTCTAAAAAGCTCTAAATTGGCACGATTACTCTTCAAATGCTGTCAAATAGATCGGCATTTGCTGTATCACAGTATCTTGTACAGAATGGTCAAAAAGTGAATTACCTTTTTTCAATGGCAAGAAAGTGAAAATTTAGCTAATATTAAGGTATTATTTCACAAAATTCATTTAATTTCTCTATCTATACTTACAGTCCTAATTCTTGTGCAGCAGCAGGACTATAACCCATTTCTAAAATTTCAATTCTAGCTTTTTGCTCTTCATTTTTCTTCTGCATATCAACAATAATCGAATTTAAGAAAGCAACTTGACTCTCAGCAAAGATTTTTTCCTCTAATAATTGCTCATTAGCTCCTATTTTAGTGTTATTATTTAACATTGGTATCTTTGTACAGTTATCTATTTTTGGTTTACTTGAAGATTGTTTCAAATTCTAGAACAAAAATAAAAAATCAAATTTAATAAGGTTTATATTTTAAAATACTTACTTCGATTTCTTTTTTAAATGAAGCAATCTCCATATCTTTCCTAGTAACTTTATCTTCAGCCTCAACGTACATGTTTTTATATTTTAATATTTCCTCTTCATTTTCTTTTAACTTCAGAGCTTCTTCACTAACTTCGTTGGTTATTTTAATACCATCGATCATTTTACATAATTTCCCATAACTTTCTTCATCACATCCAACTTTAACAACATCGTTTAATTTATCTACCATTTCAATTTTTTGTTTTTCAGTTAAATTTATTAATTGTAAAACGGTGGTGTATAAATTACTCGCATTGTTTAAACCGAAAATAATTTTTCCCGACGATTTTACTTCTTCATTTAACTTTGTAATTTCTTCGTTTAATTTATTATTATACAATTGATTTTCTGATAAAATATTATTCACTTCTTGGTTGGATTTTTTTAGATCGTTGTGTTCATTTTGAAGTTTTTGTACAAATTCGTGACTGATATGAAGTTGTGATTTAAGTTGTGCTATTTCGATATCTTTTTCGTTAGAAGTTGTATCTTTGGTGGATATTTGTTGTTTTAAGCTCGATAATTCTTGATTTAAGTTTTCGTATGCTTTCGATTTTGAAGATAATTCCTCAGAAATTTGTTTTAATTGAGATTCTAATTGATTTTTAACCGCATTTTCGTTTTGTTGTTGATTAATCAAAGATTTTTGATACTCACTTTCGTTTTCTAAAGATTTCTTTACCTTTAATTCTAATTCATTAATTATTTTATCTTTATCTTTAATAACTTCTTCTATCCTACTTTCAAGTTGTTTAGTTTTTAATTCCATTTCTTTGTTTATTTTAACATTTTCTTCAAGATTCTTTTCACCAATTTTAAAATTATTTTCAATTTGTTTAATAATCTCGTTTTTCTTATCTAATTCTTCTATTAAAGATTTTGATTTAACCTCAATTTCCTCAATTTTTTTAAGACTTTCTTCAAGATCATTTTCAAGTTTTTTCTTAATTTTTTCATTTTCTTCCGCATTTATTTTAATTAAACTTTCAAAATCGCCCTTTAATTTTTGATTTTCCTCAAGTAATTTTTGTTTTTCTTTATTAAATTCTTGACTTCTCGTTTCAAAATCAACCAATTTTTCAGATATCTCACTTTTTGAAGATTCAAGAATTTTTTGGTAATCTTTTTGCTTTTCATTTAGCTGTAACTCTAAATTTTTAAGTTTTTCTTCGTAACTCGCTTGAATATCTTGAGCCGCTTGTTTTGATAAACGAAGTTCTTTGCTAAAATTTGATTCAAACTCAATCATTTGCATAGTTTTTTTAGATAATTCTGTTTCAAGTTCAGTGTATTGCTTATTCGTCGATGACAATTTATTTTGGGATTCATTCAAATATTCAGAAAGTTCTTTTATTTTCTTTTCAAGTTCTTCTTTAAGTTTTTCTTTAGTTTCAGTTGATTTTTCTTGCGTCTCTTTTAATAATTTTTCTTTTTCTTGGAGATTACTTTGAAGTTGAGTTATTTTAAGATTTAAATCTTCGGTAACTTTCTTATTTTCCCCATTCAATTTTTCTAACTCATTCTTCAAATATTCTTTTTCTAAATGTTCTTTTTGAAGAATTTCTTCGTATTCTTTTAAACCTTTCTCAGATTTTTGCTCCAAATTATCACATTTTAATTGTAATTCGTGTTTAGATCTTTCTAAATCTTGAAGTTTTACTGTAAATTCGCTTTTTACTTTATCTAAAGTAGTATCTTTATTACGTAATTCATTAGTTAATTCTTCTAACTTAATACTAAAATCACCTGATGATCCTATTAGATTCTGTATATCTCCTTCTAATTTTAGTTTATTTTGTAATAACTCCGAATTTTTCTCTTCGGCAGTTTTTAATTTACGTTCTAAATCACCTAAATTTAATTGTAACGTTGTAATGTTTTCGTTTGTTTTCGCAATGTTTAAATTTTCTTCTTCAACTCGTTGCTTTGTCGATTCCAGTTCAATTTGTAACCGTTTTATTTCATCGATTTTCGATGTAAGTTCGTTTTGTAATTGAGAATTATTTGAAGAGAATTTCAGTAATTCACAATTTTTATTTTCAATTTCGTTGGATAATTGTAAAATTTTAGTTTCCGATTCGTTAAGTTTTAATTCGAAATGTTTTTGTGATTCTTCATTAGATGTTTTAGTTTCTTCTTTGAATTGGTTGATTAAATGTTTAAGTTTTTCAATTTCTTCGTTATTATTTTGAATATGTTTGTGTGATTCTTTTAGTTCGTTATCTTTTTGAGCTAATGACAACGCAAATTCTTTTTTGATTTCTTCATTTTCTGTTATTTTCATCGTGATGGTATTTCTTGACTCTTCAAGTTCTTTTCTTAAATTATTTTCGATTTCTTTTAAAGATTCTTTGTATTGATCAAAATCGGTATTTTTTGATTGCAAATTATTTTTAAAACTTTCGATTTGTGACGATAATTTCTTAATTTCATCGTCTTTTTTTATGATAACATCGTGATTTTCTTCAATATCATGAACTTTTGAACTAAGTTCCATTTTTAATTTATTTATTTCCTTCATCATTTTATCTTCGTTATCCTTCAATCCAATCAAATTAGATTCGAAGCTTTTTGATTTTTCATTCAAATTATTCTCGACTTTAATTAATTCTTCTTTTAATTGACTTATTTGGAGATTTTTAGTTTCAATTTCTTTATTACTTTCATCCAATCTCTTTTTAAGCTCATCGAGCTCCTTAACGAAATTATTTCTAGTTGATTCAAATTGTTCTGAAACTTGAGTAATATCATTTTTACATTTTTCTATGACATTATCACGTTCTTTAATTATATTATTAAGATCTGCAATTTCTTTAGACCGCGATTCTTCTATTCCTTTTGCTGCAATTTCGCTAGCTTCTAATAAAAGAATTTTTTTAGCTGCTACTTCCACCTCATATTTTAAAGTTTCATTTTCCATTCCTGTGTGAAGAAGTTTTTCTTCAGTTTCAAATAATCTATTTCCATCTGCTTCATAAGATTCGATGCGTTTTTCATATTGATCTATCATGAGTTCTAATTCTTTTATTTTCGTTTGATTTGTTTCCTCTGACACCTAAACAAATTAAACAATAAAATTTATTTATAGTGAACTTTACAGCCAAACAGTTTCGAAATAATAAGAAGCAATAAGATAAGTAAAAAAGCACCACTATTTTTAGTAAAAAAACAAAACACACATTAAAAAAATTAAACTTACTATTTTATCTGATATTTTTTGCTGTAAGTAAACGAAAATAAAAATAAGAATGCAATAGAAATCATAAAGTGTAAAGAAATGTTTAAAATGTCTCTAAAAAACCTTTGCAATGTTGAACGCAAAAATAATTCAATTTACTCAAAGTTATCTTTATTGAATAATCTATCATTTTTGAGGTTCAGAGAAATGTACTAAGAAATGTAAAGAAGAGATGTCAACTCTTTATTCCTTTTGGTTACTTACTAAAATGTTTGCCAAATAAGCGAAAAAAATTGGAGATATGATCCTTGCTACCCTTACTAGCCCTTAAACACATGAGAGGTTCCTACAAAGAACCTGATGAGGTCTAAGTGTGGTACAGGTGAAGATAAACTTTTTGAAAACAACTCTATATAGATGCTGTACATATTTAATGAAACCTATGTGTTCGAAGATTATCATCAATATGAAAATTCTTTTACTAAAATATATAAAATACATGTAAAATTTGAAAATATAAATTTTTTTCTGCTATTTCTGTTCAAGACATGGACAGAAATACCTTTTATTTTTATGTGGCCGAATAGTATGTTATACTCGTCCAAATAATATGCAATCCAATTGGTAGCAATTTGAATGCTACCAAAGTGGTGTTGTAAATCAAAATTCTATAATAATTCTGTAAAACATTCAGTAGGTTTTTCTGAGACATTTGCATTATGTAAATAAAATTAAAAATAAATTTTAAAATATTTACCTCAAGTTCTGATTTCGAAATTTCAACTTCTTCATATCGAAATTGTAAATCTTCCACTTTTCGTTTTTCATCATCTAAATTAGCGATGAGTTCAGACTTGTCTTTTTTTAAATCATCAAGAATTCTCAAGTGTTCCAAAAGTTTTTTTGTGGTTTCATCTCGATACTAACAAACAAAAAAATAGTTAAAAATTGGAAATTATATTACTTTATTAATATACCATATCATATTCTTGTTTTAAAGAAGTATATTTTTGGTCAATTTCATCAGCTTGACTTGCGGCCCTCGCCAATTCCGCTCTTTCCAAATCCCTCTCTTTGAGAAGTTGTTCAATATGTTGTTGCTTTTCTTTTAATACTTCCTATATTAAGGGAAATTCTTTTACATTTAATGATCAATACTTTGCTACAGTCTGGCAAAAAAACGCGGCGAGAATAATAAAAAATTCTTTTTATTAAACGTTTTTTACGACTTGGCGAACGATTTCGAGTTGTTGCAATTTGAAACTTTTACGATTTTATAATGTAAATACGGAAGGCGGGCGTACAGATTGGAATGTTAATGTTTAAATTAAAAAGGTAAGGTAAGCTGGATGAAAGAAACGTTTCCTAAGAACGTTGAAAGGAGAAGGTTTTTAAGCTATAAATAACTCGATTGAGTTTACTTTTTTTCGTTATTTGAAATTTCATTTCAAACGTTTTAAACGAAAGATTTTGTTTTAAAAAATATTATTTACATCATATTTATTTATAACTTTACTAATGATTTAATTTAAGTCGCAATTTCGCAATCTGTTTGTTTAGATGACACTTTAACGACTTTAATGAACGATAAGACTAATTTTGTGTGAAAATTTTAATTATTTTGTAATAAAAGTATACCTACCCTTAATTTATTTCCAAGAATTTTTGAAATATGAGAAATAATATTGTTTTAATTTGGTGCGAAAATGTTTTAAAAACAACACAGAGACTCCATTTAATCCATATATTTATTTACAAAATTCCCCATAAATTCAGTGTCTTGCAAAATATCGTATACACTCGAAAAGATAAATTTAAAACGGAATGAATGGAAGGCTTTCAGCTCTTATTTCAAGGAATAGGAAAGGAATTTGCTTTATTTACATTCCAATCTGACGAAAATAAATAATAACGAAAAGAAACAAGCGAAAATTTTATTAAATAATAAAATTGAACATTATTCAATTTATTTTATTAATATTTTATGTTATTAATTTTTTTTTGTATACTTTAGTAAGAATTAATGTTAAATCTAAAAAACTAAAAACATAAATAAAAGTGTACCAAATAATACCGTGAAAACTGCATTACAAAAGATTAACAAAAATATAAATCTTTAAAAAACACAAAAAAACAATTTTTATAGGGTTATTATTTAGTTCTACAATTCATTCATTTTTCTTTTAAAAGTTATTTTAAAAGTTTAATCTACAGTTTTCAATTTATTAAAAAAAAACGGTTAATTTCGTAGTGTATTAGGCCAGACGGTAGCAACAAAAACGAAGTATTCTTCAATATGTTACCTGTAGAGCGGTCCTAGTTGGTATGGGAGTTGATGTTGACTTTGGACTTGTTTTCTGTTTAGAGAAAAAAATCCAAACAATCACAACAAACTCAAAACATTAGTGCGAAATTATTTAATATTAGAATATTTTAATGCAGCTAGGATTAAATGCAACACAAACCAACGGTGCAACAGAACAAACATTTCAAAAAATAATTTAATAATTTATTATTAAAATTTTAGGAGTGCAATTATTTTTTTTAATGGTGAACTTAGCTAAGTCAAGTTAGAAGTATTGTTTTAATAGGTTTCATTAGAATGTGTTTTATTAATAAATAACGTAGTAAATGTGGTTGGAAATCTTTATTTTTTTTATTTGTGTGCTTTTATATTTACCTCTCTAATCAATTCTCGGGAATGTTTATAAAACATCTTTGTAAGATTATGCAAAATAACTAATTCAATACCAAGAAATCTATAATAAATATAAAGTGTGCAATTGAAGTGTTTTGAAAAACAATAAATAAATAGAAAAGCTATAAATCTTATAAATCTTTTAAATGCTTTATTTTTAATTTTTTTTATGTTATCATCATGTCTAACATGAAATAATCTCGTGAGTCAACTTGGAGAAAGGACTGGATTTTTAGAACTGCCATGATAGAACTGTAGAACCCCCGATTTACGATTTTCAGAAGCAATATCAATGAACGATTTTATATTATAAGATTTATAGCCTTTTATTAAAATGTTTTCAAAACCTCTAGATACATTAACATGTCTTTATAATAATCGGAAAATACTTTCAAGCTAATAAGAAATTGCTAACAAAAAATAACTAGTACTTACTTTAAAACTTTTAAATACAAAACTCACATCATGCATACACACTAAAAATAAACTTAAAATAGAAATACCAAGAAACATCATCCATAAAAAAATAAAAATAATTAACCACAAGCGATATCATCAATTCTACGTTACTTACACAACAATTAACATTCAAAAATTAACATCAACTGCTTTCGGTTGGTTGGTGTTGGTTTCTTTCCATTATTAAAACCAATTCAATTCAACACTCAACCTACCTGCGGCCCGGTTAATGATGTTACGCCCAATCTTACCCGTCTAACACCAGAGGCTGCACTTGTTATCGAAACGTTAGATGTTATAGATTCTTTAGAATTTGCTCGCCTGAATCCGGACGGTGGAATTCCCGCACCGGAATGAATTACGCATCCTCCTGGTTTACGGCTTGACGGTGATTTGCTCACTTTGTTTATTGGAGCGAATAAGCCAAAATTTGGTCGGCATTCGAAATAACTAAAATAAAATTTCTAGATCGAAAAAGTCTTCTTTGGGGAATAAAAAGTGTACCGTTTTCCGCCGACAGAACCATCATTTTTGCCTCTGGGTTCGTCGAGTTCTACACCGCACCATTCGCCGCCAGCGAATTCGGTGCATCCCATAAATCTGAGAATACCTAATTTAGATCCTTGACTGGATTTGATTATAACGCGATCGCCAATTTTAAAATCGACCATTGCTGAGGCAAGGCTAGTGTTTGATGTGGCTAGAAATACGGTATAAGAAAAGGACTTTGTAAAAGGACTTTTTTATGTTTACTTAGTGATGGTGGAGATTTAAATGGGCTGGTACTTCCTGTTGGAGACATCGAATTTCTAGTTCCATTGAGTGGAGCAGCAACATAATCGCCGGCTCCTCCGGCTTCTCCGTCAAGTGGATATCTTGTTAGACGAGTGAGTCTGGAGAAAATACCTTTTTTTGATTCGCATTGGAAATATCTTATTCCAGCAACTGATCCATCGTTTTTGCCTAAAAGTAATTTTCGTTCAAAATATCTTAACTTCATTAAATTTGTTTTATTTTATTTATTTACAAAACGTCAAATAATGATTCGAGGGAAAGGAAAATATGTTGTACAATTTTGTTTGAAACACATCATCCAATTATTACTTCTTCCACTTACCAATTGGATGATCTAATGCAATACCGGCCCATTCTCCAGGTGCAAATTGAGTTTCTCCAATATAAGCGATATGTCCTGGCTTAGTACCTCCAACCCACACTCTTTGCCCAATTATAAAACTGTCGGTATCTTCCGTAAGGATAGTGCTGTTATCTATCACCACAAAGAAAAAAGGCACGTATAAACACGAGTGCGAAGAAAAGAAAATTTACTGTGGCTACTATAGCAGAGCTTGGTGATTTAAAAAAAAATGTGATACAAATTATATATGCTACAGAGGAATAAATACAAGGACCAGTATAGGAAATCAAGGAATTGGTGTGTAATTTTGATGTACCTGAATGACGGCTGAGACCGGCTTCACTCAGCTTTCTAGGGTGCAAATCCCAGAGATAGTCCATGGAAGAGGAAGCGGCACTACCGACTATGAGGTGAAAACACACAACAAAACAGACGTGTATAAAGGCAAACGCAGGCGGTTGTGCAAAAACAAACAAAAAGTGATAAAACACACAAAATAAATATAAGGCATAACTATTTTTGGAAGACACTTGAAGGGATTACTTTATTGTCTTTATCTATTACGCACAAAGTTGCGTTCAATGAAATATCACAGTTTCATGATCATCGCTTCATGTGTCTTCTGAAAATGCAACTATTCTAGTAAAAACAATTCACTTTTCATGACTTCAAACTTGATGATCAATCACTTAAAATCACATTTTTACTATTATCAATTCTTATTATTACTTTTACCATGATTTTATACCAAAGAACTTTGATATTATTGCAATGATTTGATAAGGGTGTCATTCCGTGTGAAAGCTCTTTTCTTTGGGATTTTTTTGGTGAATCCAATAAACATACAACTGCGAACTTTACACCACAAATTTATTCATACTTTGACCAACTTTTGCAGTCCGAAGTGGTCGCTCATTGCTAAAGTACACGGCAACTTAGCCACTCATTTTCAAAACATAATACTTTGGCCACCATTGCAGGCGTTCTGCTTATCAGAAAGAAAAAAAACCAAATAGTTTTGCAATCTGCTAAAGCTATCTTTTTCTTAGAATTAAAGTTATCTTTTACTTCATCTTTCTCTTCCCCATCGTGCCCCTATTGTGGCGTTAGGGAATAGCCTCGGATCCTTATGAAGTTTACCATCTCCCAGCAAAACACTTACATCGGGTCTGTTTAACACTGTAATTTTCGAACGCCTCCGAAAATCGGAAAATCACTTTACCTATATATTTTACACTATATTTGGATGCAATTTATATAAAAAAATGGATTTTTTTTGAACCAGTCACATAGGATGACCCCCTTAACATTTTTTTAAATTTTTTATGATGAATAAGTGAATTTCATTCAAGCAAATCTTTTGAAAAGTGTTTAATACAACAATATTGCTAAAGTTTGTGATATGTAGAATGCGCTAATTCTAGAGCATTGGCAGAATTAGGTTCGATATCTAGGTCATCGCTGGCTTAAATTAAAGATCAGACCCAATGAAGATTAAATGTAGGTTAAAAGGTTTAAAATGTATGGTTATTTAGATCTTATGTAGCATGCGTTATCTAACATGTATTAGTCTACAATTAACATTAAAGCTTCAATGAATTTAGCAACAATTAAATTTTTTATTATTTCAAATTTCGTGGTAAAAAATGATTTTGAAACTTACAAAAACCATTTTTTACTATTATAGCTACTTAGAAATCATTGATTCCAACAATATTTCAAAGGTAAAGAAACAGTAAAAATTTTATTGTAACCATTAAACGGTGTTCGATCAAAAACTACAAACTTGAAAAACAAATTTCTTTGAATATTGTACTTTATACCGGCTGCATTAAAAATACATGTGATATATAAATATATCGTTTAAAAAATAAAATTATTGTCGTTTTATGGATCATAATATTATTGTGGTTAAAAAATGTATCGTTATTTAAAACCAGTAGTAAAAGTGTTTTTGAAAAATTATTTTTAATATTAATTTATTTATGTGTTTTGTACTCTTTTATACAAAGAATTTTTTACTGCTATAAAAACCATAAAAAAGAATCAAAATGACTTATTTATTATTTTACCAGAAAATGAAATCTCGTAAAACAAATAAATTCAAAATGTACAATATGAATTTGCTTGATGCTGAAGTAAAAACATAAATAATTAATTACCCCGAATAGCAATCTAACCTATTTATAGTTTTCTTATAAAACTTACGTGATGAATATCTATTACGCCTTGAAGGCGATGTTGTGGTATGTGGCATATCTTCCTCGTTTTCCTCCTTTACATCTACATGTTTATGTACATCATGCAAGAAGCAAGACATGCAAAGAAAAAAACAGAAAAAACACGAAACTTAATAAATAAATCTGATGTCAAAAGCACATAAAAAAATTAATTTACAAATTTTGTGTTTAAAACAAGCTTTACAAAAGATATACAGCAGAAAACAGATACGAAAAGCGACATAATGACTTTATACTAGAGATAACATAATTTTTATCAACCGTTTTATCTTAAACGTAGTGATGCGAAAGTTATATTCTTTCCTCGTAAAATGATTTATAAAACTGTATAATTAGCTTACCTGTAAGTTTATGTCTGCTATATTCTTCGGTTAATCTTCTTAGAGATTCCTCTGATCCATCTGATTTAGCAAAAATGAACAGAAAACACCAAAATACAAAACAAGCCAAAACAAAGCCAACAAATTAATAAAAAAATTCCATTTAATTTTCGTTATTATTATCTAGCGATCACTTCCTCCTACTCTTAAAAAACGGTTATAAGTGATCAACTCATCGAATATGGAGTTTTTATGAGTGGGAGTTTTGTTAAACAACGACATTCCAACGTTTTTTCTATGTTTATCGATGTCATGTGACCTTTTAGATGTAAGCGAAATTTTAAAATATAACGCAATAAAAAATACATAATGAACTTAAAGGGATTAGTAAGATAAAATGAATTGTAGTAGGGGGGTAATTGCAACTTTATCTGTATTTTATTGTATTTTATAATACTAAAATAATTTTTATATTTTTAAATTTTAAATTTATTTATAGTAATATATATCCCGTGAAACTGTTACTTAACTTTCAGTTATATATTGTTAGTAAGAAACGGTATCTGTCCGTGAAAATCATGGTAGTGCCAAAACTGAAATACGCCCAAGGACCCTAATGTGACGTAAGATTTGTTTTCAGCTCTTCATAAAATCCAAATTTAAGACAATTCTCAATGTGTGTCTTTATAACTGTTCATCGAAAAAATAAAATGAAGAAAATGTACAATAGAAACGTAAATAATTTTTTATTATTTTGTTTATATTTAGTATAATTTAGTATATTTTGTTAAATGTTGAGTTTAATTAAAGGGTCAATTTCTTCGTCATTCAATAAAGTTATTATGAAATATTATGACATAAATAAGATGAAAATAAATTTTTCCATGGATTACATGGAAAAATTCTATAAGATATTTACCAGATAGCTATCTGAGAGATATGCTTGGCAATGTAATAAATTAATGCTGTCTAACGACATTTATGTTTACGAAATTCGAACTGATAAGGATCGAGAAATAAATTGTCCATAAAGTGCTCCCCGAATTGCTTCCAAATAAGCGTCCTCGAAAGCACTAATAACATTAATCTTGATCAAAAATCGATGGAATGAAGGAAGGTGACAGTCTCCACTGAAAAGTTAAAAATATGAGTCAAAGAATACAAGATATACGAAGCACTCGCTCCAGACACTTTAAGATCATTGAAATAAGATTGACAGCCTTTTATCAAAGTTGCCAACAATATTTGCTCATTCGGCCTAAAATGATTTTTCAGCTTACCCAGCTCAAGAGAATGAATAAGTCGCCATAATGATTTGGGAGTAAAATCATATCTAGAAAAAAATTTTATTGTTTATAAGAAGAATGGTAAAGATATTATTGCCGAGACTTAAAATGATGATTTATTACAATTATCTTATTATAGCTTCTCTTTTATAGGTTAATTCCGAAAAAATACGTTATTATATTGGGTATAAAACTTTTGGCGCCAGGAAATAATAAAAAAGGTAATATATCCGAACAGTCTCGACGCAACAAATCAGTTTTTAAGCGCTACAAACCGACTATAAATATAAATAACAACTTAAAACTTCCCAAAACTTCGACGAATGCAGGTCAAACCCCGTTTCAAAACTTCAAACACGTAAATAGAACCGGGCATTAGAGGACTTCCTGAAATGTTTCTTCGCCGATTAACATTCTTTGCCACTTATGAAATCTTAAACCTTAAGAAATTTTAAGTTGGCCGAAACAATTTTTTTTGAAACATATATGAAAACGATTTTTTAACAAAAAGAGAAAATCTCGTGTATCAGACGTTTTTAGATGGAATGATTGGTGTGGTTTGGATTTAAGCCAGATTTGTAGGCGAAAATGTCCCATCCGTTTCACGTTTTTGACCACGCTTCTGAAAATTTAGTTCATTGATGAACATCGGTTTCAACGTAGGAGCGCGTCGGGTGTTTGGGAACAAAGAATGTCGAGAAACCGTTGGCGTGTATTAAAAATGATACATAACGCAGAATGACAAGTTTTGGGATCATTTCCAAACTTTTGTTTTTATTTAAGCTATTCTTAAAAAGATGGGAAGTTTATCCCAATGTGAACAATTTAAATGTTTGTAGTATAAATTTAAATCAAATAAAATTAAAATAAAATTTGAAATTTGTTGTAAAAATTGCCAAAGATATATTAAATGAGAAATTAAGTCGAATTCAACTTTCAAGAGATTTTAAATCATCAGGTTTTTTACAACCACATAATAACGATATAACTTAAAAATGAATTTTTTTTGAGAATATTAATGCAGGTAAAATAAATTTTTTGTTAGATATTTTAAGTTCTAATTTTTGTGAACTAATTAATTACAATTTTAGCAAACCGAAAAGTTGAAATCACAAAATCTGCGTCAACCTGCAGTTTCGTTGGACCCCAAAAATAGTTTGGGTGCAAATTCTAATTAAGCATATACAAACGTGGGCGTCTTGCTATACTATATGTATGTATAGAGGACGTTAATATTGATGCCAGTTAACAACGAATAATGCAGTTCTTACGTCAAATTTGCATGGGAAAACAACTTAAAATAAATCTGATATATTACGTGATCACCGGGATTAATTAATTAATATCGTTGCTTCAAAACATAGTTAATAATGAAAGGGGTTATGTATAGCTCAATGTTAAGGTGTGCTTTATACTTTATACATTTAATAAAAGGTCAAGTATAAATTTAATATCAAGATAGGAATTTATAAGTTTTACTTTTACTTCATTATTTTATTAGAATAATAAGGAGTGAAGTTAAAAATGATAATTTAAAATTTTTAAAACTTCACTAAATATAGTATGACCCACATAATTGGTTCATACAAGCTTAATTAATTGCTTTGTTGATATTTTATGCAATGATCGTTCGAGGTGATGCCATTAATATTGAAAATAAATCAATAACACTTGAACTTGACATTGTTGAATCAAATATTACGCAATAATGTTTGGAAAATTTTGCATTTCAAAAGTTTCGGTTTACAGAAAACCCACATCACGCCTCCTATTGGTTTTTATATACTGCTTCTTTCAAACGATCAAAAATGCGGGGGAAAACAATTGTAAACAATAAATACGGATAAATATAGATATGATGAGGTTTTCATTTATAGAATATCCTCATAATGTTTGTTATGTAATTATAGAATGAGTAATGAAATTTTTTATAAATTATACAATGATGTTTGATTTACAAAGAAATTTTTATAATCATAATTGAATTTCTAGTATTTTATGTGTAGTAGTTATAGTTTTAGTTCAATAAAAATATACAACAATTTAGCGCTGAATAACAATTAAAACTAGAACTAACATAGAACTAAAAACATTCGGAACTAGAGACAACTCGGGGAATACCACGTGTTTATCCATGAACATGAAATAAAGCAATTAGAGGAATAACCCGATTTGGATTCTATCTATGAGCGTTAATATTAATATTTATAACTTAAAATATTTTGTCCGTTCTAACGAGATCCATTATATCGAAGTTTTACTGTAATTCCAAAATCGAAACCTGAAATACGTCTACTATCTGTGAGACAGGATTAAATCGATTCAAGGATGTCTTATAAATATAGTAATTTATCAATTTCAGTTTGAGTCTAAACAAAATCATCAACGAAAATAAAGCCAATAATCTCAACAGCTACTTTAAACATACCTTTCTTTCATAGCATTCCTTGTAAATTAATGACCCAGGTTCTTTAACTCTCCTTACACAAACAAAATAAACATATACTCTCGACGAAAATTTTACTCCACGAAACCTCGAAATTAATTCCAATTTACTTAGAATAACATTTCGCGATACTCTAAGGCCACCTTTCGTTTAAACAGTTTAGATTTAATCAGTAACAGAAAAATCATTAATTTAAGTCTTTTTTTTACTTCCACAAAGACTTTTAATACCTAAAGTAGTTAATCGTTGGTTTTAAAAGGATATTTTCCTTAACAATACATCACGTTTTGTTCTTTGTACAATTAGCGAGTAATTAAATGGTTTAACCATTAATTAAAACGTAGATGAAAGCAAAAAATTATAATTTCCATTAATTAATTGGTTGGTTAACAACCGTGCGAAAACATACAAGTTCACATCTAATCAATCGAATCGAGAACTAAGTAAGGATAATTTTTTTTTATTCCAATTAGTTAGCGAATATACCATTCCAGAATTCTCAGCAAGATAGTAAAAGTGAGCAAAAAATGCGTACAAGCACGTTTCAACGTGAACTAAATATGTCAGGGTTACCTGAACGTGATATCTTCGGATACAATGCTTTCAGAGATTCACATTATTACGCGATTGTTCGTTCGATTTACTGCGTCACGGTGGGATAACTTTAAAGGAACGACATGATCTTCCAAATCAAGAAGACGTGACTCATGCCAACAACTTCCATTACTGGATGCTGTTCTTTATCGAGAACTGTTATTTCAATAAAAAGAAATACAAGAAATTCGAACTGTTTCTATACATTTAGTTTAAAAGTACTTCTTATTTGAAATAGTAATCAAAGGTACGTACACAGTCTGATAAATAATCATGAATAATTCACCTCAACAACCTAATTATACGTAGTGATTTGCACTACATGAAGAATATAGTATGAAATAATGAGTTTTTGTTTTAATCTGGTGAGATGATTACAATACCATACTGAGAACATAAGAAAGTTTACGCTTCGACTGCGAAGATAAATCGTTATTTCTTATAACGTTGTTGAATTTTCTTTTTTATGTACATATCTACATTTTTTTTAATGAAAACGTAATTGCAACGCCTTTATTAAAAAAATAATTCGATGAAAATGAAAACATCATTTTTTAAACCTTATTTGTTAAATCTTTTGTTATTAAAATTAAGTACAAAAGTATTCAAACTGACGGTGAAAGCAACGTCAAGATTTCAATTAGATTGCAATGTGGAACAAATTGAGCCGATAAAGTTGGAATAACGGAAAATATAGAACTTTACTAAAAGACATAAAAAAGTTAGTGTCTGAGTTTTATGATCATTTACACTTT